GCAGCGCAGGCGGGGAACGTTGGCTTCCTCCTTCAATGAAGGAAGCAAGCCTCATGTTCGCTTTAAGCTGCCTGGCTGCCGGCCGCCATCTTGGCTGACAGTTAATTTGCATATCTCCCTGATTAGCCAATGAAAAGGGTAGCGGTCGTACGCCAATTACCATGTTTCTCTTTTATTAGTGTAGATAAGAAAGGATACTAAGATTTTTCCCATGAGCAAAGGTAATATATCTAAATCTTTTTCATGACAATGTGTACTTTCTTTCTTTTTAAAAAATCTTTATTGTTGAGAGTATTACAGATGTATTTTCTAATCCTGAAAAGATTAAAAGTAGACCAGAGGCAGAACAGCTTGTCATATGTAGGAGACAAAATGCTGAGAGGTAGGGAGTAGGATCCTTGTCAGAAGCAGACAGAAGGTAATGAGACTTCAATGTTCTATAGGAAACAAAACATTTTTGGCTAAGTAGAAGATTAAGAGATTAAAAGGGAAACATGATAAACTGATACACAGTGAAAAAAATTGGGGGAACACAGAATGAACAGAGAAGAATAAGTGGGGGAAAGAAACAGATTTTGCAAGAAGTTAGCTGGTTTGAAGTCAAGATTCCTCCTAAAAAGTTCTTAAAGGAGTAAAGAAACAGCTAACCTGTGGCTCAAAGGCACCAGTGAAGTGAAGAAACCAGAAGAAACTGGCAGAGACTGGCCAGATGCTCACCAAGCCTGTCTTCTCCCCAGGAATATAAGATTATATTTCACATTTTCTCTTAAAAGTTTAGCAGTCATGTGATTGGATTCTGTGAACAAATTGAACCCCCCCCCCCCCACACACACACACACACACACACTTCCAGGCTTATCCATAAATCTCCTCTACCCTTCTATTTCTCCTTCACTTAGGAAGCTGGAAACAAAGGGCTCTGAGATAGGAGAACCAGGTGATGGAAGTAACTGGATTCCTGAGTCACTGCTGGGATGAGAGCTACACATTCCACACTAGAATATTATATGAGCAAAAACTTTTATTGTGTACTCCACTGAGATGTTAGGATTCATTTGTTTCCACCAACACTATACTGTTTCACAAACACACACACACACACACACACACACACACACACACACACACATTCTTTTAAAATTAGGGACTGGAAAATTGACTTTGACTGGAAATGGGACTCATAAATTGGAAGGACTAACAGGAACCATTGATGCTATTGGTAATAAGCTAAACAAACACACACATATTACAGATTTACTCCAAAGGAAGGCAGTTTGTACTTCCAGTATTCTGATATTCTCATAAAGTTTAAAATTGAACCATATGTAACATGTTAAAAGGTTTAGAGGAAGTGAACAGGATGGGAAATGTAGAATTTGAGAGAGGAGGCACAGCCAGGGGAGATATGACCTTCAGCACATGCTTGCCCTTGGATTATGTCAGCAAAAGAGTAATGCAAGACTAAACACTACAATAAAGTCTCCAGGGAGAGAGAAGTGGAGTGGGTGGAGGTGAGCAAAGCACATGGAAAACGGGACACCTGCAATTAAGTCAACATTAAAAATTTTTAATAAAATAATAAAAATAATCCTATATAATAAAAGGCTAATATGCAAATCAGCTGAACAGTGGAACAACCAGTCACTATGACGCTCACTGACCACGCTGGGCAGATGCTCAATGCAGGAGCTGCCCCCTGATGGTCAGTGCATTCCCACAGGGGGAGCGCCTCTTAGCCAGAAGCCAGGCTCAAGGCTGGTGAGCGCAGAGGTGGAGGCCCGCATCCGCGGCAGCGCTAAGGAGCAGAAAGCTGAGTGGTAAAGAGTAGCGAGCAGGCGGGTGGTAAGGAGTGAGGGGTCCTGGACTGCAAGAAGGTGCAGGCTGGGCTGAGGGACCTCCAACCCCCCATCCACAGTGCATGGATTTTGTGCACTGGGCCTCTACTAAGATAATAAAAACAGTCAAAACAAAACAAAAGAACCATTGGAAAGTGAACTTGCTCCTGGCTACACTGAGTTTCGCTGAGGTTGTTTTAAATATCTCCTGCCTACATCATTACAAACAGGTGAAAACTTACGGGGAGTGAAAGGAGGATAGTTCCAGTTGTTATCTTCACACCCATGATCAGAACCTTGGAGAATAGATACTTCCTCCATTTCCTTCAGAGACATGAAATACACAAAGTGGAAAATGTTATTGATATACAGTTAGTTGTTAAAGAATGTTTACTGAACTAGAAGCTGGATAGTTGGCGTCTCTTATTGATTTTGGAATCTTAGGTAATCTTAAATTTTCTGACTTCTGTTTCATCTTTTGGATTAGATTGTATCTACAGTACCTTCCAACTATAAATTATAGCAGGTACATTTAACCTTTTATACCTTGATTTCAATTAGTTAATTAAGAAATACTATTTCAAAGGCTAATTCATACCTTATGAGATATTATTGTTGCTGATATTGCCTCAGTATTGTTTTAAAGAATCTAAGATAGAGTAATATTCTACTTCATAATTTGCCCATTCTGTTATTCTACTCAGTGCAGGGCTTAAGAAGATAGAATTGAGATAAAATCCATTTCTTTAAAAGAGCTTGCAAATAGGTGATGTGTAATCCTGCTAACAAAAATGTAATTTTTCAAATTTCAAATAAATTTCCCCACCTGCTATCCTCTAAAAAAATAAAAGTACCATTAAATTATTCTTTAATTATTTACTTTAAATTTTAATAAATCATTGCTACAAATAATGGCACCTGTAGTTTCTAATAAAATAGTATTTTTTAAGTTAAAAGACAATTAATTTAGGAAAAAGCTGAGTCCATGAGGAAGCAAAATATTTTCTTAAAAAATAAATAACCAGTTGGTAGCAGATTGAGAATTAAAATCCAGGGGGTTGAGGCATCTAATTTATTGTATATTATAAGCTCAACATTAAGTAAAAGGATTTTAAATATCACTATGTCAAGTAAACTATTTTATTAGAGATTAGAGTTAAAATTCATCTTAAAATTAGAAATATCTGTCTCCAAAGTAAGTTTTATACTGGAATAATGACTTACAAGCCACACTCCATCAAACTCCAAAGTTTTATGAAATTCTTGAAGCTCTTCTGTCCACCATTGAGTACAAGTTGGATTATCATAAGCAGGAAAGACTATCTTTCCGGGATATCCCTAAAAAACAAGGAAAGTTGTGGTGGTTTATCTGATGATTCACACATGCATTTATTGCTGGCTACCAACTCTTCTACCAGAAGGCCCATGTAGCTTACATTTTAGAATCAAAATTTGTGACTGTCCTCCTAAAACTGAATGTTAAAATAGATGCAAGGAACCAAAGGGAGAAAAAATAAAAGGAAAAACAACTTATTATAGAGATGAGAAGCCAGCAAATGTCGCTTTTCTCTGATTAAAAAAAAAAAAAAGTAAAATTTTATATGTCAGGCCAATTGACATGTTTAAAATAAGGAAAGTTTAACTAGATGACATTTTAGAAGAGAATGACTTTGTTTAATGTGTTGTTAATTGAAGATCACCTAAAACCTGATTTGAATAATGCTATTTATAGATAACTAGAGGCCCGGTGCATGAAATTCGTGTGTGTGTGTGTGGGGGGGGGGGCCCTTAGTCTGGCCTGCACCCTCTCCAATCCAGGACCTCTGGGGGAACATCCCTCTCGCAATCCAGGACCACTGGCTCCTAACCCCTCACTTGTCTACCTGCCTGATTGCCCCTAACCACTCTGCCTGCCTGCCTGATCGCCCATAACCGCTTGCTGGGGGGCAGGGCCAGCCCAGCAAGGGGCTGTGGTGGTTCTGGTCTAACGGTTGTTATGGTTGTGACACCGTTACGATCTCTGGCCTTTTATTATAAAGGATATGTTGGTTTGGGCATAGAAACAATCTTGTTTAAACGGTTTAATGCATTTTGTGCTTCTTACTCAGGTCAAATATATTTTATTCTATCTTCTCTTCTTATCTATTCCTATCAAAGATTCATTTTTAACATTGTCCACAAATAGCACAAAGATATAGTCATAGCCAACTTACTGAAAATTCTAAATTGACAAGACACAAAGTTTTGTACATACATTCTTGCTTATTTTCCCAACAAATTTATAGATTGTCATTTAGGGACAACTTTATGCTCAGGCAGTATAATGAATAGCTATCTATGTCTTGGTTCTTTGTTTTAGGTGATGGGGCACCATATAATAATCAGAAGTAACTTTGAAACTCAGGGAAAAGATGGTGTGGCAAAGGAATCACCTACAGTGACATTGTCCCTAGAGCAGGGGTGGGCAAACTTTTTGACTCGAGGGCCACAATGGGTTCTTAAACTGGACCGGAGGGCCGGAACAAAAGCATGGATGGAGTGTTTGTGTAAACTAATATAAATTCAAGGTAAACATCATTACATAAAAGGGTACGGTCTTTTTTTTTTTAGTTTTATTCATTTCAAACGGACCGGATCCAGCCCGCAGGCCGTAGTTTGCCCACGGCTGGGTTAGACCATAGGCCCATGCACCAAAGGGTCACGGGTTCAAATGTTA